TTTTTTTTTTGCAGCTCTTTTTTTTTTTCTTGCTTCTGATATCCAGCAGAAAAGATCGGCTTGATCGGAGAAAAAGAAAAGCAGGATAAATATTTAAATTCTTGGCAAAGTCGCGTCAAGGAGATTGGCGGGCGAAAGAGGAGATGAATATTTAAACCGTCTCCGAGGTTGTGCCAAGGTTCCTTTTTAATAATTCCTTTATATATCGCGTCATAAAAAAAAGAAGAAGAAGAAGAAGAAGAAAGAGAGGAATTAATTATTTTTGCAAAACAGGTACTGTTAAACCGAAAGACAACGAGACGCAAAAGGCACTCGTGATTTATTCAATTAATTACCAGTATCGCTGGTCCCGCGTCGATTCACTGACCGCGACGAAATTATTATGTCGTATGCTCGCGAATAAAATCTCTCTCTGTGTGGGATGTCTCGTTGGATTGGCGAACAATCCTCTGCTTGTTGCGCCGCGTCATTGCCACCGTTTTGAAATAGCTGAAAAATTTATTGAATATATGAACGCGATTAAGTCTGAGCGATTTATTGACGATGGCGAAAAAGTACGAGTGCGAGATTGCCCGCTTATTCTTTGCTCTTCCATTTTCCAAGTTGGAAAAAAATTAGAAAAAATGAAACCCTCGCGACGTGAGTCTTCGACGCATATTCCGGTGGATCGTCGGTCGATAATCGTGATTTCAGCGATGCAGCGTTTGCCGCGAGAAGGGTTTCCCTGTCGCGTGCAACGGAGTGGCGCACGCCGGCTCGCTCATTTCTTTTTCCGGGGAGCACGCAAGGTGCAGCACGCGTGTATTACATTTCTCTCTGCTAGTCTAGGCTACCATAGGTATCTCCCTCTCGATCCTACCTACTTCGCCTCTATCCACCTCGGTCTCGTTTCTTTGAAACGCACCTCCGCCGCCGCGTAACGTTACGTAAGCGGTTTAACGCGGATTCGCGGGCGTGTACGCTGCCACGAAGGCATGAAAACAGCGCGTTGCGTTTCCTCCGGCAGGTCGCGAGCAGGTTCCGAAGCGTAGCCACGGAACTAGTCTCTCCCGCCGAGAAATCGTCGTCACCTGATCCCGCGTGCTCCCTCCGCCCCAGGAAGCGAGACGCGTTTCCGCCGGACGAACGCCTCTGCACGCCTTTTCTTCGCCCGTTGCCGTTTCGGTCCAGTTTCGCAAACCACCTTCACGATGATCGTCACTCGCGTGATCCGCGTACAAAATACGGATTTCTTTTCTCACACACACACACACACACACACACTCGTTGCAACAGCCACGCTCCGACTAACCTCAATAGATATAAAATTATGGAAATTCGGCCCTGTACATTATAGTCTCTCTTTCTCTCTCTCTCTCCCCGTCGTTTTCAGCTCATTTTTGGAAGTCGGAGCACGTCGAAACGCACTCGAAGCAGTCGGCTGGTCTATTTTTACGCAGGAAAGGAGAGGACGTCAAGGTCGGACAGCCTCTCGAATTCACATGCTCGAAAGTGTTGTAACCTCTGTGTTTCTGCTCGCGTTTGCTAATGCCCATCGCGGAGAACGCGTATCTTGAATTAATGACCTCTTAATGGCCTTTCGCTCTCACCGAGACTCACCTTGCACGGACGCGGCCGGGGGACGTCGTTAATGTTCGATGGCTTTGTAGTCGATCGCGTGAGCTGAAATATGTAACGCTTTTGAAGTCGCTCCTGCGGAATAAAAGAAACGATGATGCAACTTTGCTCGGCTCGTGCATTTTCCCTCTGTGTGTGAATCATGATCGTAAACCGTCTGTTATCCAGCGACGATTATACACGGAGTTGCAAACTTTATGTTCTTGCTGATGATTCGTCTGAAAAGGAGCTTCCACGTAGAACGAATAAATCATACCTTCGAAATAAAAGCGAACTGTGTTGCTTTATCGAAACTTGCCGCGAATCGTGCACGAATATTTATTGAAATTATCAGAAATTTACGCCTTTGTCAATTATCAACACTTTCACGGCGGACGTGTCGCTTGATTTTCATTTCGATTGGTTTAAACAAAAATATTAATGCTAATCTATGGGACAGCGGAACAATCGTATCAAAATATTCCACATGTACGCCGTTGTAATTAAAATAAATAGATTTGCACAATCATGCTTTTCTGCAAACAGAAATTAATATTAATTTCAACAAGAATATCCGTTAGTTTGTAAAAAAAAAGAAATTTATTAAAAAACGAAAATCTGAAACCAGTTTTCCACGTGTTCGATCGTTACGATGTTAAAACAATAAAATTTATAAAACTTCTCTGTAAAATGATAGTTCTAATAAATGATGCATCTTTCCCGCCGGGAGAGCGTTGATATTGGAAAAAGCTGTTGCCGAGTCGAAGCTTGAAACTTGGATTATTTTACGCCGTTTGAACACCGGACATGGCTTAGATTCCTAGTATTCCTCGAGATAGCGTGTTCAGCTTTGAGGAGTGCCGTGAGTCACCTGACGTGAAACGCGTCAAGACAGCGAGCGTTTTTTTCTTTTTTTTTTTTTTTTTTTGCCGTTGTGGCACCGGTTCGAGGACGAAATCGCAACGAGCAACGCCGTTAATTTAGCCGATCGGGAAGCTAGGCGCCGAGTACGTTTCAAGTTCATAAACTTGTTCGGGAAACGGAGAGAGCGACTCGAGTAACTCGAAGCAGGTAGCTTTTCTTATCAAGCCGTTCCTTTCACTGGCGAACTGATCCTAATAAAGCTACTTTCGCCTGTGGCTCTCTCGCGCAGCGCAAAACCACGCCGGTGTACCTTTGCGACCATGGTTTCGGCAATGAAAAGTAAAAGATGAATTTTTTTTTTTTTTTTGGCTTATTTTGGTTATTTTTACATGACAGAAACAACTGAAAGAACCGATACTTTGAAGAATTTTAATTAACTTTAAAGAATTTTAACGGCAACCCGGCATGACTCTGGAGTATAAAGTGAGAAAAATCAATCCGGGCCGGAAACTTGCACACACCGCTTTAAGTAATATTTCTGTCAATTTTGTTACATAAAACACAGTTTCGTAACAATCTCGATCCAGTCTTCTTTCTGCCCAGAGAATGATTTCCTCTCTCTCTCTCGTCGTATGAGTCGTTCGTTA